AAACTTGGTTCTTTAAGCACATTTTTAAATTTGCATAAGGTATTAAGATCACTTTATTGGATGTTATTTTGCTATGAAATTCCTGCAGTGCTCTTCTAGGCCACGTCTTCACATTTCATGTTATAAGAAGATTTGGTATTGTAGGCATAATATTGTAAACAGAGTACTTTTCATGTGTTCTTCATTCTAATCACTTAAGAGAAGAACAGTTACCTGTCTATAATGCAATTTATTCATACTGGCTACTTTTCTGCAGGGTCCCCCTGGTACTGGAAAAACAACAAGTATCCTTGCTCTTGCTCATGAACTTTTGGGACCAAACTATAAGGAGGCTGTTTTAGAGCTAAATGCATCAGATGATAGGTATCTTAACCCTTTTTAGCTTAAACGCTCTACTTTTCATGTGGTTTTTTCTTGCTTCTATAGAATGCTTAGAACATTTTATGGTTCTTGTGCAGGGGCATTGATGTTGTCAGAAACAAAATCAAGATGTTTGCTCAGAAGAAAGTTAACCTCCAGGGCGACACAAAATAATTATTTTGGATGAAGCCGACAGGTTGGACATTATTATGCAGCTGTTAAGCATTGTTTTTAGAGGTTAAGTTCATACGAAAGAACATGTTACTTCTCAATATCTTGCTCTTTCTTTTTCATTTTGATTTAATTTCTGTGGTGGCCGTTCTATCTGTTTATTGGTTTCCACTGTCTACCTGCATTTGGCATAGAGAATTCAGTTATATTTTATTCTAGTGTTGGAGTATGGGAATCTTATTTCCATATCGAATAAATGTTTAGCATGACATCTGGAGCTCAGCAAGCTTTAAGGAGGACAATGGAAATATATTCAAATTCCACTCGCTTTGCTCTTGCTTGCAACACATCTTCTAAAATTATTGAGCCTATCCAGAGTAGATGTGCCCTTGTCCGATATGCAAGATTATCTGACCAAGAGATCCTTGGACGCCTTATGGCTGCGGTTGCAGCAGAAAAGGTACTAAAATCTTAATCTTTGCCACAGAAGCTGTTTTCTTGTCTGGTTCCTCTTGAAGTTTCTTGCAATAGCTTTCTCTGAGCTTTATGTTAAATCAATAATTTGTCTGCAAATATTTCTATCCCATTAGTAGAACTTAATTGGTTGCAGCCAACTGAAAAGACCAGTTGCTTACTAAATCTAATGCCCTTGTATTAGAGTACCTTGACAACAACAACAACAACAACCCAGTAAAATCTCACAAGTGGGGTCTGGATGAGGTAGAGTGTACCCAGACTTTACTCCTACCCCAAGGGGTAGAGAGGCTTTTTCTGATAGACCCTCGGTTCAAGAAGACGAAAAAGACAATATATCAGTACCAACAGCAGAAAGCATAAAAATAATAACAGAATCAAAAGTACCAGAAAATAGATGAAAAACAATAACAGTAGCATGTAAGAAAGGCTCGGTACTATGAAAAGTGAAAGAGAAGTGTGGACACAATATTGTTACCACTAGCACTCTAGGACACAACCCTGTTAGACTAGCCTCTCACCCGGTACGGAGTAGCAAAGAGCTCCGCTACCCCCTATCCTGCAACCCTAATGCTAGACCTCCACACTTTCCTATCAAGGGCCATGTCCTCGGAAATCTGAAGTCTCACCATGTCCTGCCTGATCACCTCTCCCAATACTTCTTTTCTTATACTTGTCAAAGCCAACCGTTCATATCTCCTTACTGGGGCGTTTGGACTTCTCCTCCACACATGCCCGAACCATTTGAGCCTAGCTTCCCGCATCTTGTCATCCATCGGGGCCACGCCCACCTTCTCCTGAATATCTTCATTCCTAATCTTATCCATCCTAGTGTGCCCGTACATCCACATCAACATCCTCATTTCTGCTACTTTCATCCTCTGGATATGCGAGTTCTTAACCTGCCAACACTCTGCCCCATACAACATGGCTGGTCTAACCACCGCTCTATAGAACTTACCTTTGAGCCTCAGTGACACCTTTTTGCCACATAGGACTCCAGATGCTAACCTCCACTTCATCCACCCCACCCTATACGGTGAGCAACGTCTTCGTCGATCTCCCCATCCTCTGTATAACCGACACAAAGTACTTGAAACTGTTTCTCTTGGGGATGACCGGTGATTCAAGCATCACGTCCACGTCCACTTCCCTCGACTCGGTGCTGAACTTGCACTCTAAGTATTCTGTATTAGAGTACCATGAATTTATATGAAAACCAACTGTATTTAAAGGAACATTTTTGATCCCAAAATAGGCAGTTTATGATTGTCAGCTATTAGTAAGCCTTTCTCCATGCAATTTCCCATTACAGATCAATGGTACTCCAAGAAATTTCTGCTTTCTAAATCATCTCTGGAGCTATTGATTCCAGAGCGATGTCATCCATTTAGCCGCTAACTTGGAAGCCTAACTAAAGATACCACATTCACTAATTTTGATGTACAACAACAACCACCACCACCCTAGTAGTTTCCCACAAGTGGAGTCTGGGAAGGGTAAGATGTACGCAACCTTACCCCTACCCCTATCCCTGGAAGGTCAGAGAGGCTGTTTCCGATAGATTCTCGGCTAGATAACGGCTAAAAAAAAAACGGTAATTGCCACAAGTAGGAATAGCAGCAACACAAAATAAGATTGAATCCAAGAATGCTCACTAATTTTGATGTACGCAGAAATATTATTTTGAAGCTACTAAAAAAAACAATTGTATCCAAAGGTTGACCTCCTATACCTTTGTCTGATCTTTTCATTTTAGGATCTTCTTTAATGAGTTAGATTACAAAAATGTTTCCTTTTAAAAGTAAAGTGTGTGTAAATTCTACTGAAGTATCAAATTAGAAGATACAAGGAAGAAGAAAATAAAAGAATTAGCTTTGCGTGCCGTTTAATTTTATTTTCATTTAGCAAAGACACAGTTGTTGGTTTAATCATTGTGATTCTGTTGAGTCTGCCTTGAACATGCACTACATTTTTCCTAAAGTGTGCCTCTTTTCTGCTAATTAGATTCTTTTGTGTGGAGCAGTTCAACGTTCCATTTTTAATCTTAAATAAATTTCTAAGCAAGATTGTGTTAGGTACTCTTAACATATCGGTAAGGTGTGAAATGTGCCTTGTTTCTAATTATACCAATACATGATCATCTTTGTTTTTTGTTCAATTGTTCATAAGCACATTATTGGTAGAAGGGGAGGATAATATGTTGTGTGCAACTCTCGCAGGTTCCTTACATACCTGAAGGTCTTGAAGCTATCATATTTACTGCTGATGGAGATATGAGACGGGCTTTAAATAATGTACAAGCAACTCACAGTGGATTTGGTTTTGTCAACCAAGAGAATGTTTTCAAGGTTTTAGGCTCACATATCACTCTCTTAATCACTCATGTTTGACAGATTCACCTGATGTTTTAGTTTGTCTATATTGGTTGGATTCTAGGTATGTGACCAGCCCCATCCATTGCATGTGAAGAATATGGTGGTGAATGTTCTTGAAGGGAAGTTCGATGATGCTTGTGCTGGATTAAAGGCCCTATATGACCTAGGCTATTCTACCACTGACATAATCACTACCCTTTTCCGAATTATTAAGAACTATGACATGGCTGAATATCTGAAACTGGAGTTCATGAAGGTTGATTTTGGTAATTGCTCAATAAATGTTCTTTATAAGGCATCTTTGATCAACACCATTTATTTCTTTTCTGCTGGGATCACAGGAAACTGGTTTTGCCCACATGAGGATCTGTGATGGGGTTGGTTCATATCTCCAGCTATGTGGTCTGCTGGCAAAACTCGCATTGGTTCGAGAAACGGCTAAGGCAACATGATGAAACAGGCACTGAGTTGTTAGTCAACTGCGCTGATGGTTAATCTTTTGTCTTCTTTTAGCTTTTCTTAGAAATCTCAAGCAGCTATGCTGAGTGTTGGAAGGTCTAATTGCAAAGTTATTACTACTAGGTGATAACTGCTTGCCAAAGTATGAAAAATTACATCCTATGAATTTAGAAGGAACTTTTTTACTCCACGAAGGAACAATTGGAGAATTGGTATGCTAGTCTTTTGCTAACCTCCCCATCCCCATAATATGGGGCTCTTTTGAAGGAAAAAAAGAAAATAAAAAGATCTTGTCACACTTGAACTCTTAACTCAATTAGCCCAGTGTAGGGGTGAGAACATCAATTTTGTTTTCCTATGATAAGATCTTCTAGGCTGCTGTTAGTAAGAATTAATCTACAATTTGAGTATATTACCGGCTGATACAAGTTATAAGATTAATGAGTTCTCCTTTATCAAATAATAATAATGATAAGATTAATCAGTTCTCATTATCAAACACCGATAATTAGTTCACTAAGAGATTGCATCCTCTAAAGTTAAATTAGTAAAGGACAAATTGTCTACATTAGTTTGGTATTACAACAAAGACGAAATGACCTCTCTAGGACATTAGATATTCTAAACTTGAACCATGTGTTAGCACAATTAATTGATAAAAACTTGAATCTGCTCAATATCTATGCAAAAGACCACCACTGAATGCAGATCTGTCCCTAACAGAAGATGGATAGGCTTTATTGGTGAAGTTGGGATGAAAGGCAGAAACCTTTCTTGATTCGCTGTCTACATTAACTGAGTACCTCTTCATTGTGCTTGATCTTTCATAGAGAGGCCTCTGTTTTGGTTCACTCGTTGACTGCAGCTTAGCCCTTGCTGATTCGGTGCAAGACATGTAGTTGGGATGATCTTGGCAACCATTCGAGCAACTTCTTGAAGCATTACTAGTTGTTGTAAATAGTCTTCTACTTGAACTTCCATCTTTAAATGAAGTTGAGGAAAATTTTGCGTTATTATCAGCTATGCAGAAAGAGGCTTCCTCATCAGCACCTTGATTCAATTTCAGGGGACTCAGAGATTGACTGCCACATGAAGATGGAGTAGTAACTGTGTGACGAGCTGTTGTGTCCTTAGATGTCGGTAAGTTGTAACTGTATTGCTCTGATTTCAAGCTAATATGAGAGGATTGGAAGAAATTCCTGGGGTTGACATATGGTTTCTCAATGTCTATTTTGACGATCTTGTCACTTTTATCGTCATCTATTAATATAGTTTTTGTAGAGATCCCTTGTGTTTCCTAGATCTAGCGTCTATCCTGCTGCAGTCTGTATGAATCATATATAGTTCTTCTGCATCAGTTGCCTTGATGTTTGATTTTGGTGCTTGGTTCTGCAGCATTAGGTACAAGTTAATATAATTATTTACTGCATTTCTTAAGCTAAAACACCCAGCCAATACCTTGAGCATGAACGTCTCGACATGCTTCATGTTCCTGTGACGAACAGCATGCTCAAGTTTTTCTGGAGTTGCAGGATCCTACACATTGAAATTTATATTAGGTAAAGTTGTTGGACCTCTACAATGTGAAGAGGAAACTCAGATACAAACGCACCTAGCCAGGACAAGATCTTAACACTATATTTTACTTCCGTTATTACCAATTTCTATTACTCTCTCTATTTCATTTTATGCGGCAGTGTACTGGGCAGATAGTTTAAGAAATAAAGAAAGAATTTTGCTGCATACTAAAAGTGAGAGGAAACCCTCTTCAAAATTGAATTCAATGGAGGAAAAGTGAGACATGCTTACAAGATTTACGAGTGCTCGCGTACGCCTTAGCATATCAGCACTTTGCTTCCTCACAATATGACCTCTTACTACTGCCTGAAGCTTCACCAGTCCCTTTAATGCTCGTAAGGCTCTCCTTGCCTTCAAATTACCCACATGAAAAAATTTAGTAGTACTAGTAAACTAATAGCATGATCAATAGCGCTATCTTTAGCAGTCAAATGGTACATTATATTGCTTGCTATAATGAATATGTTTATTGTCACAAATAACAATAAAGTCACAAAACTATTATTCTTAAAAATAATTTACTTTATTATGAAAAAATAATTTTTAAACTAACTTAAATGCTATAATGAATTAAGTTTAGTGATTATAAGTTGTCTTTCATTGTATAATTGACCTCAACTTGTTTGGAACTTAGGTATAGTTATAGTTGTTGTTAGTGTTGTTCTTGAGGAACTGAGGTATAGTAGTAATTGTTGTCTGTTAGTGAAATATTTCTGAAAGATACTATACAACATTATACTAACCAGATAAGTTCGGAAATGCGACTGTATTAATATAGCGGCCTGCTCTTCACGATTCCTTGAAGCTGCACCGGTTCTGCTCACGCATGTAACAGAGGAGGTAGTGGTCATGAACCTCCCGCTACTTGTCAGCTTTGCAACTGCTGCTGCTGCCTTAATAGCGGTAGCCTCTGTTCTCGCAATCGCGTGCTTGGTTGGGTCAAGACCAACATCGTTTCCACCGCGAAAAGACGTTAACAGAGTACTGTAGTAGGATATATGAGCAGCATTGAGAGGTTGGTGATCATAATGTTGTTGGTAGTAGTCATTTTTTGATCTGTAGGATTCCATTTTTTCTTTGTCGGTTTAATGTTTTGTGTGGGATATGGATTTATGTTTCCGGATAACGGGGAGGATGATGGAGAGTGATCAGGACGTTTCTTGAGCCCAAGGAGTCCTTTGAAACAATTTAATGATTTGTCCATATATTTAGCCTAGCTACGCACTGTTTTTTGAGCCAACGACTCAGGTTGTTGGATTAGCAAGAGCATTATCTCCCAGTGAATTATATAGAGGAAAAGGCGCGGATGAGATGAAAGTGGCTTAAAAGAGAAGGAAGATAGTCAGTGAAAGCAGTGAGATGATAGGAAGACAAAGTAGAAGTGAGTATGACAGAAGATTCTTTAACATAAAAGGATAGTGGTGGGAGGATGGATCTTTCATCCTTAATCAGAGTTTTCAAATTCGAATCATAAAGAGTGAAAATCACGAATAAGAAGCGTATACCCTTAGTGGGTTCGACATGGAATGAATTTGGACTAATTCAGTCCGTTTGAATCCTAAAGAGTGAAAAATCCTGGATAAGAAGCGTTTCCACTTAATGAGTTTGATACAGTGCAAATTTGGATTAATTCAGTTATAGTGAATTTCAGATATATATAGGATGATTACACAAAAAAAAAGTATAATGGCAGATTCCTGAGCTGATGAAATCAAAATGTGATGTGTTAGTTTATTGCCAGCAGTGAATGAATCTTTACGCCAATGCCGGAAACTGGACGAAGAAACAAAATAGAATTTTGTTGCCATTATGATAGCATTAAATTTTCCCCGTCTTAATAAGCCAAAAGATAATGTTATTTTTATTCTTCTGCCTTTTGAAGAAAACAAGAAATTCACTGACAGAATATATAAACAAATTTCTAAACCTTTTTTAGTATTTAGTTTGGAAACTTTTGTCGATTAACAACAACAACATACCCAGTGTAATTCCACATAGTGGGGTCTGGCGCAGTGCATGTTTTCCATTTATAAAAGTTATCTTATCTGTGGAGGTGATTCTATTTCATATTGCATTGCTAGATAATTTTCAATTTTTATTGAATGCAGGACTACTTTCAATAGATTCTGAAGATGCCTTTGATTCATCTTCTGACATCCTAGCCTATCCGTAAGTTGACAATGTATATTCCCCTCCCCCTTTATTTGCTATATTGTTGTAAAAGATGCTCTAGTATCTAAAACTCTCTTTTTATGTTAATATTATGCATCATTGAGTTGTTGACCAGGTGGACAATCAACACAAAGTATTATAATGCTGATGTTTCTATTTGGATGGCCCATCTTCATGAGGACTTCTCCATTGGAGCTTTGCCAGCATTTGACCACCTTATTGCATTGGTGTTGGTCTTCGATATTAGTGATGTAAGCCTGACCTTTATCTTTCCTCTTCGTTTCATTTCCTACTTTACCAAAGCTTCTCTGAAGGGTGATCCACGAGATTATAGACTCTACTTCCANTAGATTCTCGGCTCAATAAAGCATAAGCACAACAGTAGTGAACTCTTGTCGATTGAGATGAGATTATATTATCATAAAAAAGCATGTTTGATGATAATTTACATAGAAATTTCTAAAACCTTGTTTAGAATCTAGTTTGGCAACTCCTGTCAATGATTTCGATATGAATTTGAATATAATATTCATGTATAATCAGGAAATAAGTCTCTTGAAAATTTTCAATTCCTTTCAAGAGAATAGATTCACGTAGCATACATACATAACAATATATGAATGCGTAATACTCTTCTTATTTCCTAAGAACCAAGTCTTTAATCTATCCTTTTACCCTCATTGAGTTGTTTTCCCCTTGACCACCCATATTGATTTGTTGAGTGTGAAGTTGGCGTATTTAAAAATGTTCAAGAAGGTAAAAATTACTTTGATTTTAAATTAAGCATAAAATCACTAGCATTTAAAATCTTGGGAAGGATCAAGACACTTCAATATTTAAGCAACAAATTAGCGATAGATTATCAAAAAATTATGTTAGCTGCAACCTATTTAGCGATAGAGTTCATTTCTTTTAGTGTAATGACCATATATTGAATACTTCTCAGTTTGTCGTTCTTTTATGCAATTTTTATGTTGCATGTGGAAAAATAAGGAGTAGGTATAATTTCATAATTTAGAAAGTGAAACAAGTAAAATTGTAAAGGCTTATTCCAAATGACAATCTATAACTTCACATTACCTGTTTAATTTGTTTTTATTCTGTAGTAATATAAAACTTTTAAGTTTCTAGTTTTTTCATATACTTTCAAGTTGTCTTAGATGAGATAAGGATGAATAAAGAATAATTTAATTTCGTCAAGGCTCATTACACTAGTAACTTTTTAAATTTCTTCTTTATTCGTTTGTTTTGACTTATTCTTATACATAGTTAACACCAAACAATACCAATAATAAGCAATGTGCATTAAGTGATGTACATTGAAAGTAGAGTAAAGGATAATGCACCAATCAAAGTCATAAAAAATACTCGTGAAATTATGTTTATTTGAAAGTTAATATTTCTCATTTTATCTATTATTTCTTAACATGAGAACTGTAATGTTTTTATGTTATATTGAAGTTCACTATTTTCACATCAATGAGAATCCTAAGAACTCAAGATGATTGAAATAGTTCGAAAAAGTTTTATTTTAATTATATCCAGTAAAGTGACCAAAAAGTTTGTACGATACAAATTTATGAAATAATCCGCCGAATCAAATCATTCACACCCTCGAGGGAAAGCTTACCTCATTATTCATCGGGCTAGCTCATCTAGATGTGCTTTTAGTTTCCATGCTTATGCTCGAGGCTCACTCTTACGTATCAGGTTAACCATGTTTGTCTTCCTCACTTTTTCGCAAAAATAGCACAGTCTAGCTAGTTTTCGGGCAGGTTTAAAAAATAGCCAGCATTTACCAAGTCAATGAAAAATAGCCACTATTTTGCTGCAATAGAAACCGTTCCAGCATAATATACTGGAGTTCGACGCGCCTGTATATGAACTTCCAGCATATTATGCTGGAACGGTATACTTTGCTGGCTCCAGTATAATATACTGGAGACTGGAGCATCGGTGCTCCAAACTCCAGTATATTATGTTGGACCGGTATATTATACTGGAGTATTTTTCCGGATTTTGAACAGTGTTTTCATTCAGATTTATCTTTACATGAAAAGTGGCTAAATTTCGATTACTTTTGAAATTATGGCTATTTTTGAGTGACCACTTGTAAATTTGGCTATTTTTGAATTTCTCCCCACTTTTTCCGAACTAATGAAAAGAATCAACAATGCCTAAACAGGCCCAACCCAATACTTGTGGACTAATTAATCTCTCAAGCCTAAGGTAAAAATTGCACGGGGCGCCCTATTTGGTCGCCCCCATTTAACCTATACCCATTTTTTTTTAAAAACTTTTAACTTGCACCCACTTTTTAAACAACTTCAGCTCCCTTTCTCCTCCCCTTCAACACCTCACCAGAAGAAAGCAAGGTTATGTTTTAACATTTATAAATAACGATGGAATAGTAGTATCAACAAAGTGAAGAGAAAGTGCAGTTCTTTATCTGCATAAATACTAAAGGGGAACTAGATGAAAAAATGGGAAATTCAGAGAGCTTGATACCGTTTTCTATGATATCTTATTTTGCTGATCAAGAACAGAGTGATGAGAGACTTGCAAAAATGATGGAAGCGGCTGAGATGCCTCCTATGGGGTTCATAAATGAAGTTTGTAATCAATTGAGAACTGCTATGAAACTGCATCTTTTTAACTATTATATGATAAGAGATAATAGAGTTGGAAATCGATATCTTATTATTGATATTAATTACTTCCCTGGTTATGCTAAAGTGTCTGAATATGAAACTATGTTGACTCCTTGTTTTCTTGATCTTGCACAACAGAAGCGAAGCAGAGATGCTGGTAATTTGGAGAATAAGATTCATGAGGCAGATTCTAATGGTCAGAATAAGACTCATGAGACAGATTCTAATGGTCACTATCTAACGAAATATCAATTTGAAGCTAGCTTAGAAATATTAAACTTCAGCTCTAGAGCTGAAGTTTCCTAGTTACAATACAAAAACTTCAGCTCTAGAGCTGAACTTCAGGCCCGGTTACTAGAATGCTGAAGTTTTGCGTGATTGCTTTTGCTACTTCAGCCCCGTGTGCTGAAGTTATGCGAAAAAACGGGTACGCTTGCAATTTTTTCTGCAAAGCGGGCACAAATTAAAATGTGACACAAAAAACGGGTATAGATGCAAATGGCCCAAGCCTAAGCTTGCTTCGCTCTTCATTGGGCTACCTTGTGAAAGGGTAAATGGCAGAAACAATGATACTTTAGTGCCACTATTAATTTTTTGACTTCGGTAAAAAGAGTCTTGGGAAATAACCTCTCCCAAAATTTTGCGATATGCTCCTAGCAATCACTAGATTTTTTGATATGTTGATCTTTCGGATTTATCGCAAAAATATAGCAATCGCTTGAATTTTTTATATGTTGTTCACCAAGATTTGCCGCCAGAAATTTTCATATTGTGATCACAAGATTTTGCCATGGCAATTGTTAGAAATTTTCATATGGTGATCACCAAAGATATGCAAAAATATGACAATTGCCAGATATCTTCATATGGTGATCACTAAATTTGCCACAGAACATGTGATGTATATTTTTAATTTATCCCAAAAAGAATAATATTTTTTTAATATTTAAAAATAAATTTAACTTTAAACTTTTTAATTTTATTATTAATGAGAAATAATTTCTAGCGACACAAGTATCTATGGACGATTAAATCACAAGTTTAAAAAAAAAAAAATTTCTTTTTGGGTACTGGCCAGTGGAGTATCTAGTATCTAGTAAGAAGAAAGTACTGCTATCAATTAACCACTTGGTATATATTTCGTCTTTTCTTAGTTTATCAATATGCCCCGGCATGTGATAGCAAGTTAATCTTTATCAGGTTAGTGATTAACGAGTATTTCAAAAATTATTTTTTAATTAAATGATCTGATTAATGTGCAAATATTTTCAAACAATTAGTTCATTAAATGCATACTGACTGCTGAGGCCTGAGTGTGTGAATTATACTTTCTTTTAAATGTTGCCCCATGTAGGCTGCTGCTGGTTGGTGAGTGAACCAGTGGACCAACGAGCAACTTGTTTTTTGTACTGCTTATGAGATATTTATTATACTTCTGTCGTTATTAATAAACTTTAGAGATAAAGGCGTGGAAAGTGTTCAAATCACAAATAAAACGAATGCTTAATAAATAGCAACCAACCACACTATATATGTTGTTCGATCATGTGACCACCAATTTTAATATAACGTCAAAATCATCAAACAGTAAATGAGCAGAGTTGTATATTAACCACAATCTCCTGATATTCTATACATATTGTACAAAACATGACCATTTTGTAGCCAATGACATCTTTTAACTTAAATGATGAAAGGATTTCATCCACTTTAATTTTGATGATTCTGCTTTGTGGATCCAATGCAAGTGTGGAATATAGCGGGAGATATTTTATGAATATTTATTTATTAATACACAAACATATGAGCTCTTTGTTTACTCATTTTTTCATAGGCAAATTCAATGTTTAAATATTTTAATTCGAGTGTGAAATTCTATCACAATCTATTTAAATTATTCGGTATGTTAATTCTATTCTTTGTACTACTTATTAATAAATCTTGTAACGCAGTTTGAGTCAAAGTGATTGAGCCCGTAATTTAATGACTGCATCCGACCTTGGTTTTCTTTCGAATGGGAGCAGCCTTTGATCAACGGTTAAGTTGTCTTTCTGTGACCTATAGGTCACGGATTCGACTGTGAAATCAGTCATTGATGCTTACATTATGGGTAGACTGCCTACATCGTATCTTCTTGGAATGCGGCTCTGCACCAGACTGCCCTCAAATTTAACTGATGATCACAGGAGATCATTTGAAAATATACCAATACACATGTATATATTCACTCTTATTTTTGTGGTTAGACTTGGGGGTGGGGGGGTGGGGTTACGTTAATGTGAATGAAATCTGCATTCTTGCCGTCACCACTCACCATCACACTTTTCAATCGGCTCATTTATTGCATTTTCTTAACTTGTAATTATAGCAGCTTTCGCATCAAAGCAGCCTCAATCCCACATAGTGCTTTGTCCAGTGTAATATTCTTGTTTTCTTCCGGCTGCTTGTGTATTAGAATTTGTTGGAAACTAAATCAAGATTAATTAATATTTCTAAATTGTCTATAATTTGATATTTAGTAGTTTATTTAATTCATGTCTAGTTAGGTTTTGTTTGTCAATTTTATATTTGAATAGGTTTTTGGTTTTATAGTATTATAAATAGGGGTTGTACTACTTATTTTTTCTTGTAAAGAGATTCAAGAGTTTATGAGTTGTGAAAAAAGCCTCCTACCAAGTTCTCTCCCTAGTTTAATAATT